GGGCGTGCCTTCAGCCTGGCTGGGTGCAGCAGGGCACTGGGGAAAGGGCACTCCACCCCTGCATGCCCCCCACGGAGGCGGCATCAGCTTGTGACTAGCCGCCCAGCCTCGCTTCAGTTCTATGGAACAGCCCGAGCCCCTTCCGTAGCACGGGCAAGAGCCTGTATGGGAGGGGTATTAACCTGTTAGCTCTTTGGAGCTGCATGCCTACGCTGGGCAGGGGCAGCCCCAGGGATGCAGAGGCCAGCGCAGGGTCATGCTGCCCACTCTGCTTGCCGGGCTGCCCCAGTCCCTATGCCATGCTGTGCCTCTGCCTCCCCAAACCTCACATGCCTGAGCTGCGGGGGGAAAGGAGGGGCTGTGTTCGACCACCTGGGAGGCACAGACTGCACTTTGACAACCTCTGCACTAGGATGATGGCAAGGTAAGAGCACCTAAAAGTTAAGATATTGCCAAGCTGAGCCTAAGTATCTTTGTGTCCACAGAGTCCTTTGGTTCCTACACTTAATATTACCCAATCAGCAATTAGGTTGTGTTCTTTGAAACCATCTTTTGAAAGATACTATAGATTATACAGACACAGCCTACTGCCAGCCCGTGAAAGCACTGATGATAAATAAGGTCTCATAAGACCTGTAAAGAACTTTTTGGAAGCTCTCTCACCAATATGGGTTTTGGGATTTTTTTGTTTTTTGACTTTTTCTGGTGCGTGGCACGTGATTTGCCAGCAGTAATCTGCTGGGCATATCTCATCTAATCAGTTCATTCCCATTGTACAGGCTTCAGGCGTTGGTGGGCCTTGGGCCTCTTCTACTCTCTTCCTATAGCTGTGGTCACCAACCCGTTGTCGATCGCGATTGACTGCTCAATCGCAAGGCCTTGACCAGTCGATTGTGAGGCGTTCCGGTCCCCCCATTTCCTCTACCCCCAAGAAGCCCCACTACCTACCTCCAGCGACAATGGAGGTAGTGGTGGCTTCCTGCTGGGGTTCCAGAAATGTGCTGGCTGCTTCCTTGCCCCAGCCAGGAGCTTACCGGGGGAATCCCCAGAGGTGTGTGCTGGGACTTCCCTTCTCAGCAGGGGGGGGGGGTGTGCGCGGGGGCTTCCCTGCTCGTTCCTCTGCGGGGGAGGGAGTCAGGCCCGGAGGGGGTGTGTGTGGGGGCTTCCCTGCTCTGTCCCCACTGGCACCCTGTCCCCTGCCGCAGAACCCTGTCCCCTGCCCTCTCGGCACCCTGTCTCTTCTCCCCTGCCACCGAACCCTGTCCCCACTGGTACTCTGTCTCCTTTCTCCCACTGGCACCCTGTCTCTTGCCGAACCCTGTCGGGGGAGGGAGTCAGGCCCGGAGGGGGTGTGTGTGGGGGCTTCCCTGCTCTGTCCCCACTGGCACCCTGTCCCCTGCCGCAGAACCCTGTCCCCTGCCCTCTCGGCACCCTGTCTCTTCTCCCCTGCCACCGAACCCTGTCCCCACTGGTACTCTGTCTCCTTTCTCCCACTGGCACCCTGTCTCTTGCCGAACCCTGTCTCTTGCCCTCTTGTCACCCTGTTCCCTCTCCCCTGCCCCCAGCCATAGAACCCTGCCCCCTGTTACAGAACCCTGCCCCCACTGGCACCCTGTCCCCATGTCCTCTGCTCCCACCACCACAGTTGGGGCTACATTAGTGAGACGGGGGGTGCAGAGATTGGAGGAGTTATTTTTTTGCATCTCACTTGTGTGGCCCCAACTCACTTTTCTGTGGGTCAGTGACCCCTGACTCAAAACAGCTTCCCTGCTCTTCTCATAAATAAAGACAATGCTGAAACTTTTTGTGTTTGACATAATATTTTATTTAAAAATGAAGGCTGCCCAACAAACCCCCAATTGGGGCCAAGTCCCCATCTGGCCGCAGCATTATAACTCTCCTGCACCCCCCTTTTCCCCCAGACCGTAGATCTGAGCCTATCATACACTGGAACCCCCTGCCCTGGGCCCCTCACCTACTCCAACCCAAATTCCTGAACCATCCTACCTTTTCTGTGGGTCAGTGACGCCTGACTCAAAACAGGTTCCCCACCCTTCTCATGAATAAAAACAATGCAGAAATTTTTTGTGTTTGACATAGTATTTTATTTAAAAATGAAGCCTCACCAACAAACCCCCAACTGGGGCCAAGCCCCCATCTGGCCACAGCATCATAACTCTCCTGCACCCCCGTTTTCCCCCAGACCGTAGATCTGAGCCTATCATACACTGGAACCCCCTGCCCTGAGCCCC